TTTTTTTTTGCGGTAGGTCGGACATACCCTGTCCGGTCCAACGTCCGACCAGACGTCCGGTCAGACATCCTGGACGGTCAGGGGGGTCCCGGACGTCCGATCAGGTAACCTAGGTATTTACTATTTACTATTGAGTATGCCTGTTTAGTATTGAATGTTTAGTATTTAGGAATTAGAATTTACTTTTTACTATTTTGCTATTGATTGTCTCACAGACATAACATTGACGTACGCTCAGATGCGTTCACGTCAGTGTGCTATTAGTTGGCATGCTAGGAATGGGAATACCGACGTCTTGATGACGAACAGGGCCATCTCCTGCATATAGTTTTTTTTTGCAGACAAGAGTTTTGTCCTGGGTGGTCTTGTCCCGTCGTTTGGCCTGTGAAGGAGGGGCGGTGCTTGCATGTGGGACTTGTCATCTAGGATCAGTTTTTGGTGCTGTTGCTTGTTGCCCCCTGTTTTGTTGTATTTGGCTGTTCCCTTCCTCTTTTCTTTGCCTCTTTGCCGTTTGGCTGTGTGCAGGTGGGTCGATATGACACACAGGGGTGGGGGCAGCCGCCGCTCAACCTACATCCATGTGGGCGGCCTTGTACGCAAGAGGTTCTTGAACAGGGGGAGTTGTAAGGAAGAAGATACAAAAATGAATTTATTTTTCTTTGTTTTCTTTCTGTTTTCTTTTCGCTTTTCCGCTCTGATAACTTTGTGACAATATATAGGCATGCTATACATATAGGGCTTACATGTTGGGATGGTAGGAGACTCAGGGCCTTGTTCTGGGATGTCTCGTGTGTTGAATTGAATATTTGAGAATGGTCACATCTGTACTGATTTGTGAGGTTTATAGTTGCCGGGATCTGCACATCTTGACTCTGGACTGACTGACTATATATCTCTGACACGTGTTGACTCTGTTGTTATTGATTTATCTGCACGCTGGCAGTCGGGATCTGCAGCAAGGCGACTGGTTTTTGTGTTTGAAAGGGCCAAATTTTGATGGCCATGATTTTCTGCAAATGGCCCTCGAGAGAGAGTGGTGAGTTTGTTTCTGCCACCTCGCTTTTCCCAATGAGTGGTTCGGAACTCCCCCCCTTCCTCCCCCTTCCCCCCCCGTGTCCCCCCATCCCCCCCCGTCCCCCCCTTCCCCCCCTTTTCAACCCCTTGCTGATAATTGTCATGGGTGGTAGGCCACTGCATTTATGACGAGTCACTCACTGATTTCTGAATGTTTAGTCAATGGGTATGTTGGTACCATTTCTGAATGTTTAGTGAAAGGAGGGGGGAAGGG